AGAGCCAACAACTGCGATCTTCATCACAACGCCCATTAAGTTCCTTATAGCGAAAACCACCTCTCGTCACCTACACCCAAAAACCTCTTCGTACTGCAACGTTGACTCCTGCGAATACGACCCCCCTCCCTCTGGCGCAGCCAAATACGACCCCCCCCCCCGTTGGACTTTGTCCAACGGACGGTTGGGACCCGTGAGGAGGTAGTGGGTTCGAACCCGTCCGGGGATAGGTGTTTTGCTTTTTTTTTTCAACATGGCTGAAAAGCCTTTTTGAATCCGTTATTTTATCAATGGTCGCCCGACGCTACATCTACGAAGAGTTGCAAGCTGACCCTCTTAAATTTAAGCACTACTTGTCTGTGAGTGCCTATGGTGCCCGTAGTGCAGGTGCTATGCTTTTCCGTGGCAAGTAGGCAAGTAGGTACGATATTCGTATTCAAGGGATCAAACTACCCCTAAAAAACGGACTTTTGCGAAACCTGAGGTCATGAACTAATTATGGAAAAAGCGGAGTAGTGATGGGACCACTCCTCAAACTCCACTTTTTTGGGCTGACCAATCATGGACGACGGGGAAAGGGGAGAGATGGTGTTGTATTAGGAAAAATTGCTTTGCAGATCTTTGGATGATGCACACGGGCAAGCCAGACACAATTTTCTATTATGAAAAGTTTTTAAAAGGTTTATTCTACCCAAGTGCCAGCCTTTTGTAATGGATTGGTGGATCGGTAAGTGACTGCCCAAATTTTCGAGGTTAGGTCAAAATTTCAGAATTCGCTAGAAGTTCGCTCAAAGGGAGAGTCTGACTCCCTGATTACGAATATCATACTTGTTCGAAGCAAAAATGCCTGGCGCCTGCGCTACAAGCGCCCAAAGTAGTGAGGGGGCGATGCCGCCTAAGTTCGTTATTGATTGCCCTTAAATTCTTTGTACTTTTAACTATAATCATGTTCAATTACCGATGTTAGGGATCTTCCTAGCTACTATACTGCAAACGGCAAAAGAATGAGCTCACCAAGGAGTCTCCTGGCCTCTTTTTCGTGAGCCTCGACCACAGCCCCTGCGCTTTTTCTGCTTCATAATTCCTTTCAGAGAAGAGTTCAGCAGATAAGGAACACATATTTGAGCTCAGCGTCCCAAGGCGCGTATACACATATACATGTCATTTCAATTCGCGGGTTGGCGATTGATCAAATGACCTTTCCTGGTTAGTCAACCCAAGCAATTTCGACGGATTTCGGGATTCCTTTCCTTGTTTATCTACTTCCGACCCATTTCCATCAATACATTCGTATTCGTGTGCTAGAACCACTGCAATCTGTTCCTGGGACATGCCTTAGAGTTTCAATTACTGATTTTTGCTTTTGGTTTTGATAACATATTCTGCATCAATTTCTTTTTCAATTATTTCGGAAATTCTCAACTTTGTAAAGTATGTGAAACTTGGCGTTAAAGTCCACATATTACGACTTGCTTGTTCAGGACTGATGTGACTGTTATTGGAATTGGAGGGGATCATCGCCTGCGCACAGCTGGCGATGATTCCCTCACGACTTCACGTGTGGCGGAGGCGTGTCGTTGCGGGTAACTAGAGACTTTGGGCTATGGTGAACCCTTAAATATCTCCTTGCGGTGGTTCAGTGGATTTCATATGAAGAGGAAAACTATGTACAGAAGAAGAGTTGAACGCCTTTATTGTTTGGCTGCAAGAGAATGTATATGAGACTTCTGCGACTGTTTTTGCGCCAAACAATAAAGGCGTTCAACTCTACTTCTGTACATAGTTAACCTCTTCATATAAATTCACTGAACCACGCAAGGTGATATTGAAAGGGCCCACCATACCCAAATCGCTAGTCACCCGCAACAGAAGGGGCAGTTTAGTGGCTAAAGCCGCTTCGCAATCTTCGCCCTTGTTGTGGATTCAGTATGTATTGGCCGAGCAAACCTTTCATCTTTTCGTCGTCAGCTAGATGACCACTAATTCTAAGCTTGTTCGTGAATATGAAACATTGACTTGCAATCAGCGCGCCCAAACGTTACCGGCAAAGATTTGAAAGAACGTTTCGCGATCAACTAGGTAAGGCATTGTGTTAGAAAATAAGACGAAATATACACCGATACGAAATGGATCCCTAGTGCCGGAAAAGTAAACAAGTTCATCGACACGACAACACATTCGCAAACGAAATGCCCTTATGCAAGCCCGCCCAGAAGTTGTTGACACCCTTGCCATACGCATCCAGTCGAAAGCAACCCTGCCTCTGCAGTTTTTAACCCAGCTACCTCACTTATGGAGGGACTGTCCAATCAACCAATAGCGGAACGTGCCTTCAAGAAACCACGCGAGCGAGCTAGACGGATAACAAAGCAGTCAAGCCGAATATGTGACTGCATTTTTTTTTTCAACATCTTGCACAAAATATATCTAAAGTACTATGGATACGCAAAAGACTACCTCCTTCACATAGCCGTTACACTCGTGCTCTTTTGCCGCAATTTTCACCTGCATTGCCTCTGCCTGAAAAAAAAAGAAGATATATACGTGCGACCTCATACATATACTCGGCGATCCTAGGAAATGCAATATCTCCGGAGCCGTCCAAAAAATCATATTTTGTCATCTGGAAAGTCATAAATTCATAGCCGCCACGAATTCATTACGTGGTTTCAACTTCGAGAATTCATGAAAAAATAGATTGCAACTAGTGGAGAAAACAACCTCCATTCACAACACAGCTCCACAAAAAAGCACTTATAAACAAATTCCATTCCTACTAACCTCGCGTGACAGTTTGTCTATGGTGTCGTTTCTGAGAGAAATATCGGCGTTCATTCTTTTAACCTCGGCTGCATGTACTTCATGAAGCGCAGCTAGATCCGCTTTTGATTCTGCAATACAGCAACTCTTCGAATGGACATCATATTCCTCAAAACCTCTGGATTGCGCCACAAAACTATTTTCCAACGCTCTCCACATGAGAACCTCCCCCAATCTACCAAAGATGGTGCTTCAAGCATAGTCAAAAGGGTGAAAATGTAGTTCTGGAGGGGGGCACCCTATCTAATCGAAGTAGAGCTGCGGAAAGACACCTATATCTAATCAAAGTAGAGTTGCGGGAAAGGCACTTATATCTTATCATATCTTTCACTGAAACTGTGGCCTACGACTAGCACACTTACCCTTGTCATAATTCTATGGCTAAAATGGCTGCTACCCTGCTGGCTCTTCACTTTCACCAAACCTTGCGACTGCCATGCAAACTCTCGGAGGAAGGGCCTTCCAGGTATCCGATTTTGTATGGAACCCGGGTTGGTATCCATATCTAATCATACACTCAGAGATTGTGCTCTGGATGTTGATTAGATATGACCGCACTTCCGCAGCTCCACTTCGATTAGATATTGTCAGTTCGATTAGATATTATGAGTGCCCCCCCCCCCCCGAAACTACATTTTCCGTTAAAAGGAAGCAGAGGTAGTTTCGATAAATGGCCAAATTTCCAGTGAGGAACTTTACTGTAAGTGAAAAGGAACGAGCGATATTCAATGAAAACGGGGGATGGTAGTCAATTAGACGCTTTGCATTCCATTTTAGGTCAGGAACGGGGAATTGATCATTAGATACTGTAGACCACACGATCTCTTTGCGCATTGAAACCTCTTTACTATCCCATTATCAATCCTCAAGATTTGCTTTCTCTTGATGAAGAGTCGCCACCTCACTTTGACGTTCAACGAGTGCTGTCGATGCTCTGAAAAGTGAACAGGACACTTTTCGCACATGCGCCAAAGGGAATTTATTGTGAAAACAAGCAGCACAGCGTACTCAGCTAGAGATCTGCTATAATTATGACATTTTTAGTAATTGCCTTACATCTCTAGCTTCTTCTTCTTGAGGAATCATCAGCGAGCTTATTGGCGCTCACCACTACTTCGCGTTCTTGACTGATTTCAGACGCCAAGTCGTCACGTTCTTGCACAACCCGTGCAAGTCTGAACAAGATTTTGATTGGTATACAAATTTCAAAAGATTCGCGTACTTGAAGCTAAAAGTAAACGAATAAAAGTAACATTGTTTTCCCAGTACCAAAGCGTTCATAGTGTTGCGAGGTAGACGGGAGGTACGTGCTCGAAAGAACGGTGCCAGGAAAATTAAAGTATAAATATTAGACAGACTAAAGTAAGGATCAACACACTTTAAGAACATGGACCGATTCAGGTACATTCGGGTCAAACATTTATGAATATGTGCATTTGACAATAACAAACTGCTACACAATGCTGATGCTGAAGCGGACAAAGGCAAGGCGAAACGTTAGAAAACAAAAGAAAAGAAGGGAAGCGACACAATGACAGAAGGGAGAGGAGAGCGGAAGCGAATGCACCAGAGAACTGCTAGCAGTAATAAATAATTAGCATAGCAAAAGCAAAATGGATATGGATATCAGGATGGGGGGGGGGGAGAAGAGAGGCAAGCAACAACAGAGACTGAGTGCGAGGTGCAAGCCTGCGCCGCCACAGGCTAGAATAGACCCCGGAGAAGATAGCCGACTAGCAGCCTAGATGCATCATCGATAAGAAAAGCTATGAAAGAGATAGCGATTACCGGCGGTGTTGACTTGCATTATCTTGGGTATGAGCCACGCATTCTACTAAGTTTCAATTAGATCTCGAATTGAGATGCAAGAGTATTAGCAGGGCCCAGATGTATTCCAGTCCAGTGTTTTCTACTTTCACAAGGGGCATGAGACACAGCTGTGGCACCCAGAAAAAGGAAAGTTTGTTTGGTCCTGCAGGAAAAATTCGATTCGAGAATTCAAGCCGCGCCTTACCAATGCGGTGTATGTAAAGCGCCCACTTTGACATCAAATCACATCGCCCGGAGAAAAGAATATTGAAGCACCAAATACTATTGAAACACCACGTTGATCAACAAAAGAAGCGAAGAGTAAGCTTGAAATTATCGGTGATGCGTAAGAGTTCCCATTTTTCAGTAACTCACTCAGCTTGCACCGCCGCGATCTTCTCTTCGAAAAGCTTTCGCATTGCTTCCAGTTCCTTTGTGGTGGCTTCGTTCTTCTCACGCAAAGCCTCGCAATCAGATACGAGTGACCGAACACGAGCCATCTAATTTATCAGCAACCATTGGTAAATTTAGAATATCATTTCCGTCAATGTTAAATTTACTTACATATTTCAGGAACAACGAAACAACAAAAACTATGATTACCAGTCATAAAATCACTGAAAACCTACATCTACTTCATTGTTGTTACTTCCCGTTCCTCTGAATTGCATGCGCAGCTTCTCACTCTGTGCTAGAGCTTGGTCCTTAGCTGACAGCAATAATTCCAATTCCCTTTCCCTTCGCTGAAACAGCAATATTTTGAATACAGTAAGGGAGCAATCTTGAACAATTGTGGAACTATTCCTACCGACTCACCTCCATTAATAAAATCTTTTTTTCATACGCAGATAGAACTTCCGACACCTTAGCATCCTTTACCTAAACGAACTCCGCGTTTTTTGTGGGAAAGTATAGGAAAGATCAACTGAAACATACACTGAATCCATCTCTTATCCTCTGCAGTACTTCATCTAACACTCGTTCACTTTCTTTCGAGCTTCTTCTAGGTGAAACCACAAGAGCGGGTATTGCTGCTGTATCCATCGGTTCACAACTTCTGGATCTAAAAAGCTAACATATAGTAGAAAAACAGAACATTACATGATGGCGACAGATTCGCAGCATTCGGAATATTAGGCAGGCCAGGCATGTGATACAGCGCCCGTCCTGTCAAGGGTACATAACAAAGAACGCATTTATAGCAGGCAGTTTAGATGTGACTCAAATTTTTGGATGTTCTGTTCAAAAAAGTGGCACCATGATTTATACCCTTATGGAGAACAAGCCTGCCGTTTACAAATGCCCATTCAACTTTTGAAATCATCATTATAAAATTCTTGCGCCGTAGAGGTTGTTAGGCAGAAACTTTATTAATCGGCCCCGATCGTCTTCATCGAAGGCCTGAACGCGACTCAAGGTATGAGAAGTCCTCCTAAACCGCCAAGCGCCTCCTCTCCTTGGCGTTTCTGACAAACGCTCAAGAAGAGCAGCCGAAAATCCGAACGAGGAAATAAACTTACTCAGTTTACCAGCGCAGGAGCGAGACAGCGCTCAGTGTCAGTTGCTAAGTGAATGAGACATATACTGTGCTATCCTTTATAGGAAATATAGCTAGGACCTGCACGTCTCATAGTTTATTTTAGTAGCTCGCAATGCTGAGCGAAAGGCAAGACATCATTTGTGAAGGATAAGCACTCATTTCGGTTGTTCATACTAGGATTCCTTGCGTTAATCCAGAATGATTCGAGCGCTTTTCTGGCGGAAATGTCAGTCTCGCATGCCAGGATTATGATTTTGAAATTATGTCGTATTACAAACAAAAATTTTACAAAGCAGTTGGAGATCTACCTCGTGTCGCTAGAGGTATTCGGTGAGATCACTCCACTGTCAGATGAACTTTGTCTAGACTGAGAGCAAGATGCAATGAGATCGCCAAGCCTGAATAGTAAGATTTCAGAAGCCGCTGACATCATGACAATACTATGCAATCACAATTCCATAGCTAGCATGGATTGAGTACACTGAACATGAATCTAGTTACGAATATAAGAACTAGCCATCGGCTTGGAAAAGCTTGCAGCTGCGAGCAATGAGTGTAGATAACCAGAGCGTTGTGGACCATTTCGTGGTCACCGTACGCTAATGCATAGGCAAGAAACGATACAAGTCGGGGATCCTACAACAAATCAAAATCAGTCTAAAGGAAAAAGTCAGCCTATAAAACGACACTCGATAGACAGATATCTGCTTGCCTTTAACGATCTCCAGTACTGATCTTTGTGCAACTTGGAAAAGTCCTTAAGAGAAGCGAGTAGTCGCAGCAGCTCCAAGACCACTGCTACTCCATGAACACTGAAATGGAACGGACAAAATTTTTAGGAATTAAGTCGTTAGGAATTTCAAATGTGCGGCCTACCCCCATTCTGCAGCCTTTTCCGTTCGCTGAGATGGCGGCTTCTCCATGAAGACTACTATTGGGTTTGTAATAAGTTGTGTCTCGGATATGTGTGCACACAAAGCTGCAGTTGTTACGTCCAGCAAACCATTTCGAAGATCTTCATCAGCGGTGCAGACTATAAACAGTCATCAAAATTCACAAATACGAATTCTGATAACACCTACATCTCCAGCAATGCTCCACATAGTCATTCAAAATAGAAAACCTTCTGCTAGTCGAAGTCCTTCTGTGATAAGTCTACACTGGTGCACAATTTCCGGTTTTGATGTTTCAATCGAGGTTTTCACTGCTGTGTCAACCAAAGATAGCACTTGCTCGGGAGCAATGAGATCTGCTATGTGTTCACCAACATCAAGTTTCTCCTGCAAAAAAGTTTTTTTAATATTCTGAATCTTCGTTAGATAAACGAGAGAGCGGTGGCTATATCAAGAAGCGCAGTGCAAAACCTCCAAAAGCACTCACCTTCACCAGAAAAGTAAGTAACCGAAGAGCTTTCAAAGGCATTTCTGGCAGCACAGCGTTATCTATGGGTATGGCAACAGTTGCAGCAACAGCGAGGAGTGGCGTAGTGAGACGAGCTTCTGTTGGAGGACAACTCAGCACTGCTGAGCAAACGGGCGAACAGAGTTGAGGAAGGGAACAGAACGCCAGCAATACGTCGTACACCTGATACCAAAATATGCTATGAATATGGCGGTCACTACTGTAAAGAAATAAGACGCTACTACCTTGAGAGTTTCTTCCAATCTGGGATCGAGTACTACCAACAGCTCCGCAGTCTGTTGAATACACCTGTTGAAAAACGGATAATTCATCACATCCTTGCCAGTAGCAGTGATCACCGGGACTGATGATATCTGAACGATTAAGAATTGGAATGAGCTTCACGTGAAGACCAGAACAGCCTCTGAGATATTTCCGAGACAAGAACAGCGTTAACTAACAGCAACGAACCGTCTGTGTTTCCGATACCACAAGCCTTCGAAGAAGATCAGAGGCAACATGTCGTGTCATCAAGCATTCACTATCACCCATTATTAAAACATTGAATACACATTGGAATGTCTCGTGAATATTTTGTGAACAGTAGACCTAGAACACTCAATTAGTTTATTGTAAGGCAATTCTAAACCAGTATATCCCGAAGGGTGCAGATGATGTAGTGATGTGTGGAGACACCATATCCTGAGATCAGATCCCTGATCGAATTCTGTTCGACCCTTTCGACCCTACCAAGTCTTCCCAAGAAAGGGTTTGTTCAAGTTGAATGATACTTCACCCTGTTCTATGTTCTCAAGACAGTCTTGGATATAAAACCTGGAGCATGGGGAACGATTATGGAAACCACCAGCAATTAGTGGCAGCGCGCGTTGTTTTCTGATGCACAATTTTGCAAGCGCACTCCAAAAACCAGAAAACTTAAGTTGTATGCACCATCGAAGTAGCACCTGAACCACATCGTTCTAGTTGCCTTTTACTATCTACAATAAGTGTAAACAATCTTGAAGGAAAGTCTGCGTGAAGGAATAAATAACAGGGATCGTATCTCATAGGTACCAGACATCTACGAGCTTACATAGCGTAGTACCCTATCGCGCCACGTTGTCAATGTCAAAATTTCAAGTTCTAAGTGATCTCAATGAATCACACTCCTTACTTTTCTTTTCAATCCCCACGAGAAAAGAGTAACCAGCGAAAACTTTGAGTACCTACCATGTCTCGAACCTTCTCTTCAAGGTACCCAACCAACACCAACGATGATACGACTACAATGCGTGAATCATGCGACAACAATTTGATGACACGTCGCGAAAAAGCCTTGTACGATGTCTGAAAGCGTTAGCGCTAAGACCGACGTCATAGTCGGCGACGGACCAAGCGATGGAGCGATCGCGATCGCTCCATCGCTTGCCAATCGCTCTCGGTCGAGCGATTGGCACGCGATTGCGCAATCGCTTGCAAAGTGCACAAGCGACGGGCGATTGGCCCCGCCCCCAGTCGATGCAGTCGGCTGCGGTATCGATCGAGCAGAGCCATCGGCCCGTCGCTTGTGCACTTTGCAAGCGATTGCGCAATCGCGTGCCAATCGCTCGACCGAGAGCGACGACGGACAAGCGATGGAGCGATCGCGATCGCTCCATCGCTTGGTCCGTCGCCGACTATGACGTCGGTCTAATTACGACCGGCATTGCAACGAAATATTATTGATGGTTTCGAAGGTTTTATTTGGAAACAAACCGATTTCTTTATTCTACTGCATACTGACTTTGATCGTCTAGCGAGGTTACATAATATTGCTATACAGTAAGGCATCCATTCCATTTCATCGTTTCTAGTACTGAAATAAATACTCACGAACAGAAGCAAATTCAGAAATTCAAATAAAGTAAAGTTGAGAACGTACATCTCACTCATTAGAAAAGATATCAAATCGTTAGTCCATATTCCGAGAACCAGACATTTTTCGTAGGTTAGAACCTGGAAAAAAATTAAAGAGCACGATTCTCCAAAACCAAGCCCTCTGGGCCTAAAAAAAAAACCTGGAAAAATAGTACAAAACAACTTGGGATTGATGAAATATCGAAATGAAATAAATGTATAGAACAAGGCGTATAAAAAAGTTAATAAAATGTAGGATATGACTTGGTAGGTCGTGGAACATACCTGTAGCAGCCGAAGAATGTCGATTAAATTTTGCGGTCCTAGTTGCTCTTTCAGCGACATCTTCAGGCACTCAAAAACAGGTCCACATAGATGGAGTTCGCCACAGAGATACCGTCGTATTCTCACATTGTATAGAGCTGCAACGAGTGGGCTCTATGCTACTGTAACCACAAGCATCCTCATTAGGTCTTTGGTTGAAGTTGAAAAAAATCGCAACATAAGAACGCAACACATGCCCTTCGCATTACCGTTATAAGCAAAACATACTCTTCGATCGTTGGTAACATTTGCGGTTTGAAATAGTGCAAATTGAGTATAAGCCATCTTGGACTAACTGAGTGGACGGGGTTATAAGGGGAAAAAGGTAAAAAAAAACATACCTAAGCTGAAGAGAAGTCGTAGAAGCTTTGACCTAGTCGGTGCACTTGAAGTGTTGGCCGAAAGAATGTGTGGACTGTAGTCTAGCAATTCGGTGAGGAACTGATTGGAAAGAGATAATCTTCCGGTGACCTCCACTCCATCTAAGTGACGTATAAGTACCTGGAACTCATTAACAATTATCAGGACAAAAAAACTACAGTAAGACCAACGCTAGACCTTAGGCTGATGTCAGAGTCCGCGATCCGTCGCAGGTTTCGCTGATTTTCGCGATTTTCGCGATTTTCGCGATTTGCGCGAAACCTGCGATGGATCACAGGAGTA